ATATCCACAGACAAGTGGATATTATTCCACAACCTCCTAAAATGCTGTTGAGTTAAGTTCCAATCAAGTTCTGGATTACTGAAAGATAACACAGATCTACTTATACCGTGAATAACCTTAGCTGGGAGTGTAAACTGGATATATTGAATCTTATTTCCCTTGAGTGATCTTCCTTTCTCTAAAGCATTTAGTCTGTTTTTGTAAGCCTTTGTCTATTTACTCTTGGATCGTATGAGCGAGACTAATATCCCTAGACAGTTGATTTACATGACCTCCATACACTCTTAAACTAAACTCCCCCTTGAAACCTTGTAAGCCAGTCACTTGGTGCCTTTATCGCCCCCTCATTTTTGGTAGCCAATGTCTAAGTTGCCAATCCTTATCTGCCCTGTGTTCAGAGGGGATAGCATTGATACTTGATGTGAAGACTCCTTCCCTCACTGTTGGTAGTTAGAGTTACGACCTGCATGAGTATAGGTGAAGTTCATCAAACTGTAGCAATTTACCCGCATTTATCGAAAATTGTTTTGTTCTTTTTTTATCTTCCTCTAGTCAAGTTCCGATAATCAAGCCATCGAGGCTAGGTCAAATGGGTACTGTCTGCAAGTCTGAGTGTTCTTGTGCATCTCCTCACTTCATATCAGCTGGATGCTTTACTCTCAGCTCTAGCTCTCTGTGGCTATGCGCTTGTCCATGGGCTCAGGCGTCCCCAAGTCTCACTACATTTTGGACCAACCAGCCCTTCTTCTCTCTCACATCTCCAGGTCAACAGGAGTCTATGGAATGTGGTTGAACTCAGCCTATTTCTTCATTGCTGCCTTTCACCCTATTTTACTCACAGTAAACCAATGTGGTCATCAGGAGCCTACATGCCTGCTCATGTATTCCCTTTAAGTTTCAGTCTTAGAGGGGGGTTTTTCTTAAAGGAACTTGATTGCTTGCCTTGATGGCTTCCTGGCGAACAACTTGCTTCTTCATTTGTTTTGGGTTTTTCCTGATGATCTTTCTTTGAAGATGTGTCTTCTGTCGCTTTAGCTGTTCAGGCTGGTCTGCTTGTTCTTTCTAGTGGGAATGTCCCTCCTCAGGATTCCATCTAAGATCCTATACACTACAAAGGCTCCACAAGCGGTCTATTTCACTGGGCAAGTTCAAGAACACCTTTTGGGTATTCCAATCAGTTATAAACTGAAGACAGGCTTACAAGCTTTCTGTAATCATGTTTCTCGACACACCTTCCTATCCAACACAAGTGTCCATTTTACAATAGTAGGCAAGAGAAATCAGTATACAGAAGATAGTCAAGCATCTTAGTATTATTTCCCCTCCTCAAACTATACCTTGATCCTTGTGTCACAGAGCCCTGTTGTTCCAAGGTTGAGCATTCATCACTATTTACCTCTGTCCCACTAGTCCATGCAAGCCTGTCTCAGTGGTGTGGATTTTAACAATGGCTTCACAGTCGTTTAGAGCAGTAAAGTGTCATAATGATAACTGTACATGAATGTTTTGATGAATAAGAACGTCTAGGGTTAATTACCACAAGGTCAGCAGTTCGATACTACCAGCTGTTCCACAGGAGAAAGATGAGGCGTTCTGCTCCAGTAAAGATTTACAGCCTCAGAAACCCGGTAAAGGGATGTTATTGAGGCGGAACTGACTCCACGGCTCATAACCACCACTACCACTACCAGGGTTACTTACTTTTTTAATGTTTTATTGTGAATTATGTGACAGTTTACATAGGAGAACATTAGCATTACATTCATCCTATTGTATATCATTTCCTTGCCATGGTTACAATCCCTTCCATGCATCATCAACCAACCAAAGAGGATACACCCTGCCAGCCCGCCCCCCAGTCATCAGCACACAGCCCCTCTCCCTCTTTGGGTCTAAAGTCCCCAGCCACTCTATCTCTCCACATCATCATCTCTGCCTCCACTCTGGCATCACCGCTTCTTTGGGTAGGGTCCCGCTCTCCACTCTTCTCCCTTGATGGTCCCAGGGATCTCCGCTCCTAGACTGAAAAGTTAATCACTGCCCTCCTTTTGCTACAAAGCGTGTACCTTTACATTTCTAACCCTCCCAATCAGTCCTGGTAAGAATTTTTCACCATTGTATCACAAGAGACCCATCAGCATCTCTTTTCATTAACCCCGCCTAGACAGATTGGATACTACTCACTGGAGATTCTACCTTCCTCCATGCCCTCTGGATGTAGGTTCCCTCTCGAAAGCTTGTAAGCCAGTCACTTCTTGCCTTTGTAGCCCCCCCCCC